GGGGAGGGATTAGTTGTTCATTGGAGGTAAGAATACCATTGACTTTCCTGCTGTACTGGCTTAGCATGGTGAGCCTCAGATCTCAGCCTCTTGAGTAGCTAGGATTACAGGCATGAGCCACCAGTGGCAAGCTATACTTGCTATTATGAATCTACTATATCTGAAATCTGAAATATCTGAAAAATATACATGAAATGATGATATCCTAAAGATGAACTTAAAGTGGCCCAGAAGTACCACTGAGCCACGGAAACACCACTAGTGGTTGTTTCCTGTTGAAGCATACCCAGGCCATCACCAACACCAGCCCCAACTTAGTGACATTAGTCTTTACAAATCAAATAGAAGCTTGAGAGAATTTTTGAGGGGGTTGAGTTTTTTATTTTCATACTCACCCAGTTTATAAACTGAGCCTGAGTAAATTTCACAATCTCCAGAGTTACGAGTAGACTGATGGGAATGAGATTGTGGTACAAAATGATGAACACCAAGCTATCCAAGGCAAAGATGTGAGGGCTGTAACCTGCAGAAGAAAATCATAAGAACTTGGTTACAGCATTATCTGTCTTGTTTACATGATCATATTGTTCAAATTGTGGGAAATCATTATTCAAAGTGCACAGAAATACAAAAATGGGTTGGTTGCTTTTGGTGTATGTGCCAGTACTGGGACTTGATCTCAGGGCTTCATAGTTGCTTGACTTTTTTACTCATGGCCACTGTTCTACCACTTGAGCCACACCCCTGCCTCTGGGTTTTTGCTGTGGAATTGGCGAAAAGAGTCTCATGGATTTGTCCCAGCGGGCTTCAACCTATGATCTTCAGATGCCAGCAACACCTCTTGAGTAGCTGGCATTACAGGCATGAGCCACCAGCACCTAGGCAAAAAACAAACCAACAAAACCAAACCAAAAAACCTGCTTTTTTCTTATTAAACACCAGTCACATAATGAGACAAATTAGCACTGAGATTCAAGAATGTAGCCTGCTGCCTGAGAAAATAAAGAAAGAAAATATGATATATATGTATTTATACACCCATGTATATATATACATATATACCCATATATGTATACTTTTCCATTGTAAAAAATAAATTTACAATAGCTTACTCATCTGTCAGAAAGAATAATATGTCATATGTAGGGAATTGGATGGAACTGGAAATGCTGAATGTTGAATGTTGAATATAGTCAGGCTCAAAGAGATAAAGGATGCATGGAAAGTTAGATCTAAATTAGAAATGTACATATGAAAACACAAGCTCATATGCATATATACACAAATTAATTGACCAACGTTTGGCCCACACATGGGAAGAATCCCATGGTGTAACTCCTATGAACAACAAACTTACAATTTAACAAAATAATTACCAAAAAGCATGTTTCATTTGGGGAGGTAGGCCAAGTGGAGAGGAGTAGACAAATGGGAAAGGGAAAGAAAAGTAGGTGAAATTAGTCATTATATTCAATGTACATATGTGAAAATCTGAACCAGGTAACTTGACAAGATGGATAGGGTTAGGAGAGAATAATAGGGTTAGTGAGAATGCTAGAAGGCGTGACACTGATCAAGATGCATTGTACTCATAAACTGATCTGTTGAGCTGAAATCCCTCTGTAAAACTACGTAAAGAAAACAATAATAAAAATGGACCTGTGAAAATAAGTGCTCTTCTTTTTAAACAAAAGATGCAAACAAGTCTCTTTACAAGTCACTTAATATTTTTATTGTTAAGTTGTTGCACAAAGAAGTTTTAGTTCCTTAAGTCAGGTTATGAGTACAACACATCTTGATCAATATCACCCCTTCCATTATTCTCCCCCATTTTTCCTCCTATAAGTCATTACAAAGCATAGTAACCTCCAGCAAAGGCAGCTTCTGCCCACCCTTTGATATTTACCCTTCCTCCTCATGTACCACATATCCATGCTGTACATTTGATTCCAGTACATTGCTCCGGCACAGCTCACCATGGACATGACCAACAGAAACAGGAACAAAGCCAGGATCTGGAGGTTGGTCACTTTCTCAACCTGTGATTTCTTCAGAGGTGATTTGACAGCATTCTGTACAATAGCAAATGTACATACATGCATGCACACTTTGATACACAAATCCGGCAAAACATAAGTCCATGTATACAGAGTCACACAAACCCATCAAAACAAAACACAAAAATGATCAAAAGGAACTGTGGTATACAAACAAGATAACTGTGCTATATGTAATACATAACCAATAAGAAATAATTTCAAAATTCAGATGAAATAGTTAAAACTGGAGATGAAATAGGAACCTCCTTTCAAATTTCAAATTATGAACAGAAATCATTAGACTTCTGAATTTAAAAGATAAACACTAGAGTCTGGCACTAATGGCTGATGCCTCGCTACTTAAAAGGCTAAGATCTGAGGATCATAGTTGGAAAGCTGCCTGGGAATCAAAAGGTCTGTTACGCTCTTATCCCCAATTAATCACCCCAAAAAAGTCAGGGCATGGCTGGGGTAGTACAGCACCAGCCTTGAGGGAAAAAAAAAATCAAGACTCACGCAAGAGCTTGAGTCCCTTAATTCAAGCCCTAGTACTGACACACACACACACACACACACACACACACACACACACAGAGCACATAGCATACACACAAAAGATACTAAACCCAGATCATTTACCTGCATTAACTTGGTTTCAGATCCAGTGTAAATGATGACACCAATGATCCATTGAGTATTTCTCAGCTGGGTTCCTCTTAGCAAGACTTGGTCAGGCCCAATTGGAACAGGGCTAAATTAAAATTTTTTAAAAGATATGTTGAGCCATGTGCTGGTGGCTCACACCTGTAATCTTAGCTACTTGGGAGACTGAAATATGAGGATCGAGGTTCAAAGTCAGCCCAGGCAGGAAAATCCGTAAGACTCTTATCTCCAATTAACAATCTAAAAACCAGAAGTGGAGCTGTGGCCTAAAGTGGTAAACACTAGAGATGAGCAGAAAAGCTCGGATGCAGTACATAGGACCTGAGTTCAAGCCCTACAACCAAAAAAGAAGGCAAGTTGTTACAGTTTAACAAAATGACTACCAGAAAACTGGTACATGTGTTCTGGAAGAGGGAAGTCCATGAGTGCAGAGAGGAAAGTGGGCAAATGTAATCATAATATTCAGTGTACATATGTGACAATGGACCAGGTAAGTGGAGAGGATGAATGAGGCTGGGAAAGAAGAGGTGAGGAAGAAGGATTAAAGACGTGACACTGATCAAGATGTGTGTACTTACAGACCGACTGTGGAGTTGAAACCCATCTGGAAAACTACTTAATAAAAAAAATAGTAATAAAGGTCAGGTGCTGGTGGCTCATGCATATAATCCTAGGCAACTCAATAGGCTGAGATCTGAGGATTGTGGCTCAAAGCCAGCCCAAGAGGGAAAGTCTTCACGAGATTCTTATTAACATACAGAAAACCAGAAGTGGCTCTGTGGTTTAAAGTGATAGGATAGTCGCCTTAAATGAAAAAGTTTAGGGACAGTGCCCAGGCCCTGAGTTCAAGTCCCACTAACAACAACAACAACAACAATAATAGTAATAATAATAAGCTGGGCACCTGTGACTCATACCTGTAATCTCAGCTACTCAGCAGGATAAGGACTGAGGATTGCAGTTGGAAGCCAGCCCAGGCAGAAAATTCCAAGAGACTGTTATTTCCAATTAACCAGCAAAACTGGAAGTGGAGGTGTATAGGTCAAATGGTAGAGCACAGACTTCAACAAAAAGGCTAACCAAGAGGGAGAGGCCCTGAGTTCAAGCCCCAATATCAAAAAAATGCATACACGCACGCGCATGCGCGTGTACACACACACACACACACACACACACACACACTGATTTCTTAGCTTGTGATGCAATGAGGTTGCTCTGCTAAGAATTCCCATTCCCATAATGATATGCTGCCCTGACCTAAAGTAATGGGGATCATGCAACCTTGAACTGGACTCTCCAGAACCATTAGCCACAATGACCTTTTCCTCCTTAATAGTTAATTGCCTCAGGTATTATATTTTCCTCCCATATTTAAGAATTTTGTTGTTGTTGTTGTTGGTCGTGGGGCTTGAACTCAGTGCCTGGGCACTGTCCCTGACCTTATTTGCTCAAGGCCAGTGATCTACCATTTGGAGCCACAGCTCCACTTCCAGTTTTTGAGTGGTTAATTGGAGATAAAGTGTCTTACAGGGACTTTTTTCCCTGAGCTGGCTTCAAACAAAGATCCTTAGATCACAGCTTCCTGAGTAGCTAGGATTCAAGCATAAGCCACTGGCTCCTGATTTTTTTTTTAAAGAACAATTATATAGGTGCATCAGGATATTTCAATGGCAAGTAAAATATTAACAAGTGATTCATTCACAGGGCAAAGATTTCCATGTATTATGCTCCATAAGAGAGAAAAAGTTAAGGAAAAGATCATACCTTCTATCATTTAAACGCAAGTTTCCAACAAAGCTACTGAAATGGCGGTTAGGTCCTTCACATTCAATTTTTCCATGTAGATTTAATAATTGGTTTTCTGTTTGCATTGCAGCTGTTTCTGGCAAAGCCTATGAAATAAATGCCAAAAGAGAGGAAAAGAAAATACAATTGTAAGGTACTATGGCAAAGTTCCATATCTCTAGGCATTAACAAAAGATGATATTAAGAGTTAGTAATTAAAATATTAGTACTTAGTATTATAGCTACTAGATACTAACATAATATACATTACATTTTAACATAAACTGTGCTATGAGATGCCAAATAATCATTTTGCCAATGTCTTTATGTGCCTGTAACTAGATCTTGAACTCAGGGCCAGGTACTAGCCTTTAGTCTTTTTGTTTTTAAGATTGAGGCTCTATCACTTGAGTTACAGCTTCACTTCCAGTTTTCTGTTGATTAACTGGAGATAAGAGGTGAAAATATTTTCATCTTGTCTACTAAAAAGATTATTTTTAGCCAAGCACCGGTGGCTCACATATAATCCTAGCTTCTCAAGTAGCTGAGATCTGATGATTGCAGTTAAAAGCCAGCCCAGGCAGGAAAAGCTGTGAGCCTTTTTTTCTCCAATTAAACACCACAAAAATCAGAAATGAAGTGGTAGTTCAATTGGTAGAGCTCTAGCCCTGAGCCAAAGAAGCTCAGAGACATTGCCTAGGCCCTGAGTTAAAGTCCCAGGATGGCACAAAAGAAAAATCGTTTTCGAAAGTGTAACCACAATAATCATTGTTTGAAATGGTTATGCACATAGGGGCTGACATTAAACCTTGGGTTCCTTTTGGAATAGCAAGGTTCTAGAGCACTGCTTCCAAACTTTGATACATTAAGTTCCTTTTAGAATTCCAGTGGAAATACAAATTGTTGTGATCCATTTCCCAGAGTTTGTTTAGGATTCACTGGATCTGCATTCCTAAAAGTTGCTATAGGACAATGATGATAATGATGATGTTAAGGTCCAGAGATCCAACTCTGAAAATCAATGGTCCTGAGAGTACTTCACCATAATTAGTAGGCTTAACTTTCCAGAGGAAAGATGCAAAGCACTTTCAAGACAACAAGAAGCATATTCTTATCAGTGTTTTTGAGTAGAAATACAAGATGCAGGAAATATTAAAGTATTGGAAAGAAAAGACCTTTATCTGTAGAATATTACATCTTTGCAAATGTCAAACAGATGTAAAATTTTAATCCAAATATGTTCAAATATATATATATATAAGATCTCAGAAATTTTGATACTTCTAAATCCATAAAGAAATGAATTTCCATTCATCAGAAGATATCTTAAAGCCCAAAACACAAAAACGAGGAAACAAAACAAAACAGAGTAGCTTGGAATCCTAGTTATACAGGAGAGTGAAACCAGAAGATCACAGTTCAAAGCCAATCTAGGCAGAAAAATCCATGAGACTCTTATCTCCAGTTAACCAGCAAAAAACCAGATAAGTTTAATTGGTAAGGCAGTTCTGAGACAGTTCTCAGGCCCTGAATTCAAGTCCTATTACCAGCACCAAAAGAAAGAAAGAAAAGAGCCAGGTGCTGGTAACTCATGCCTCTGATCTTAGCTACTCAGAAGGCTAAAATCTTAGGATTGTGGTTAAAAGCCAGCCCGAACAAGAAAGTTTGTGAGACTCTTATGCCCAATAAACTACTCAGAAAAAGCTGGAAGTGGCATTGTGGCTCAAATGGTAGAACATTAGCTTTGAGCACTGGGAGGTTCAGAGACAGAGCCTAGTCCCTGAGTTCAAGCCCCAAGACCCAGGTATGGCAAAAAAAAAAGAGTAAATTACCAAATAGGAGAAGGTATATGCAGCATATATAACTGACAAAGATATTAAAAATACAGGGTAATTCTAGAAGTCAATGAGAAAAATACAAACATTCTAATAGAAAACAATGAAGAAACTTTCTTCACAAACATTTCCCAGAAGAAAATGTATTGCCAGAAAACTCAAAAAAAATTCTCATGAAAGCTAATTTTAAAAATTATCTGAATAGGCCTATCTTTTTGCATGTTTGGGAAGTTCTCTGCTAGGATCCTGTTAAGCAAATTTCCTAGACCATTAACTTCTGTCTCTAGGTGCTCCTCTACACCCATTATCCTCAGATTAGGCCTTCTGATGGAGTCTTCCCAGTGTTGAATAGATCTATCATATTTCTTGGAGTTGTCTTGGATGGTTGTATGTTCTTTCTCTATAATATCTAGACTGTCTTCAATCTCCGAGATTCGATCTTCTGCATGGTCTAACCTACTATCAAGACTTTCTACTTTGTTTTTTATTTCTTTTCCTTCTAGTTGGTTGGCTTTGATGGCTTCAAATTCTTTGTTGGAGCTTTGTTTTAGATCTTGTATGAACTTCTTTACTTCCTTAATTTGGTGTTCAGTGTTTATTCTCAAATCACTTAGTTGATTGGTTATGGTTTCTTTGGACTCCCATTCTTTCTGTTGGGTTCCATTGAGCATTCCCTTTGTGGTCTCCCTGACTTCTTTTAGCTCTCGGTTTATGGATTTCATGAATGCCTTTAGTGATCTTTGTGTGTTCTCATCCTGCTCTCTCAATTCCTGTATTACTCTTTGATTAGCTTCAAAGAAATGCAAATCAAAACAACATTGAGATACCACCTCACCCCAGTTTGAATGGCAAGAATCAAGAACTCTAATAACAACAGATGCTGGAGGGGATTTGGACAGAAGGGAACCTTACTGCATTGTTGGTGCGAGTGTAAACTTGTTCAACCACTTTGGAAAGCAGTATGGAGGTTCCTCAAAAGACTTCACATAGAGCTCCCCTATGACCCAGCAATCCCACTTTGGGCATTTACCCAATGTTCACAAACAAGACCACACTAAAGCTACCAGCACAACTATGTTTATTGCAGCCTTATTTACCATAGCGAAGATATGGAACTAACCGAGATGTCCCTCAGTAGATGAATGGATCAAGAAAATGTGGTATATATACACAATGGAATTCTATGCCTCCATCAGAAAGAATGACATTGTCCCATTTGTTAGGAAATGGAAAGACTTGGAAAAAATTATATTAAGTGAAGTAAGCCAGGCCCAAGGAAACATAGGTCCCATAGGTTCCCTTATTTGCAATAACTAGTATATGTCTGAGTCAAGCAGAAATAGTCAGATAAGTTGAGGTTAGGGAAATAAACCCTAAGATATATATTCAAATGTTTTTTCTTTCATGTGATTGTTTCTAACACATTTATAAGATGATTTCTTTGTTGTTTTGTATGTCCCTCCCCCACGGTATAACCCCTGCTTTCACTGTATTTGATGTTGTTATAATTTGTGGAGGGGAAGGGAAAAAATAAATCGTTTAAATAGGGATACAGGTGGACCCACTGCAACAATGAGATGTACCAGTTATGTTGAAAACGAACTTTACAACTTTGGTGCGGGGGTAGGGTGGGGGGCTGGGGGAGGGGAAAGCATATAGAGTTGGGGGATGTGGGGGAGGCTGGGAAGGGATGTGAAGGGTAAACCAAAGGAGGAGGCTGCAATGCTTGGTAAGAAATGTACGCATTATCCTGCCCATGTAATTGTAACCCCTCTGTATGGTATTTTCACAATAAAAAAATAAAAATAAAACAAAAAAAGTAATGACCTTAGCCCATTGGTAGATGGTGAAGAAAAGAGCAGAAAGTTGACAAGCATTGTAGAAAAAATTACCAAACTTCAAATATAAAGAAACTTCCCAAATATGATCAAAGATATCTACCAAAATCTGAAAGCAAATATTATGCTTGACTTAAACAATGAGAAAAACATGTCAAGAAGTAACTGCTTCTAAATATTTGTTTTCAATTGCTCTCAAGTTTCTACACAGTACCATGAAATGGAAATAAAGAAATGAGATACTACTCTTAGAAAAGTGTCAGAAAAGACCTATATTTAAGAACAAGCAGGAACAGTAAATTGGGCACTAAATAGGCATAAAGATTTAAAACCTCAAATCTTTTTCTAACATGTTTTTCCACTTTGAGGCTCTGTAATAAATACTTCAAGCTGTTTTTTCTTTTTAAATCTTTTGCTGGGCACTAGTAGCTCATGTCTGTAATGCCAGCTATTAGGAAACTAAGCTCTGAGTATCCTGGTTCAAAGACAGCCCAGGCAGGAAAGTTTGTAAGACTCTTATTTCCAAAAAGAAAAAAAGCCAGAAGTAGAGCTCTTGCAAGTGTGAGCCCTGAGCAAAATAAAAGCTCAAGGACAGTGCCCTTGCCCTGAGTTCAAGGCCCCATGATGGTACACACACACACAAAAATATTTTTGAGACTTTTTTTTGGGGGGTCCAGTTGTGGGGCCTGAACTCTGGGCCTGGGCGCTGTCCCTCAGCTCTTCAGCTCAAGGCTAGCACTCTACCACTTGAGCCACAGCACCTCACTTCCGGCTTTTTCTTTTTGCTTATGTGGTGCTGAGGAATCGAACCCAGGGCCTTGAGCATGCAAGGCAAGCGCTCTACCACTGAGCCACCTTCCCAGCCCCCATCTCTGCATTCTTAATCATAACTTTCTCTAAAATTCAAGTGGTAAATTTAAAAGGAGTGGTATATAAAGCCACCCAGTACTCCTTAGACACTCTTCTCAGTCTTCTTAAAACATTTAGCCATTACTGTGGCTTTATCACCAAAGCATTACTAGAAAGAGATTCAAAACAATCTTTACCATCTAAGTTCTATGGCATATATTTTTTTCTAGTAATTAAAAGGATTAACCTAGTTCTTCCCAGTAGTAGTAGTAGTAGTAGTAGTAGTGGTAATACAGTATCATTTGATGTAGATAAATTACATCCATTGTGGAAAATCAACCAGTACCTGATAAAACCTGACACAGCGGTTCAGGTATGAAATTAGGATGGGAAAAGGTGTCTTTACCTGCCGTATTTTTAGATTTGTCTCTCCATCCAGATTTGCTGTTGCAATATAACACATCGAATGAGGTTCACTGACAAAAATAGAGCAAATAATATTAATAACTCTTCATCAAATTATTTGTGTGTATGTGTGCATGTATGCATCCTAATATCTGTATTGGGGCTCGAACTCACACTCTTCCTTAGTTTTTCTGTTTGTGGCTGGCATTCTACTGCCTAAGAAACATCTGCACTTCTAACTTATTGCTAGTTAATTAGATATAAGCATCTCTCAGACTTGTCTGTCCAGGCTGGCTTTGCACCAAGTTCCTCAGATCTCAGCCTCCTGAGTAGCTAGCATTATAGATGTGAGACACCAGTGCCTAGCTCAAATTATTTTCTGAGTAATGCAAAGCATGACATGTAACCTATATCAATAACGATTCCTCAGATTTGAAAGAACTGAAAAGTACTACTTTTGCAGAATGTATTAGCAATATGAGGCCATCAGCCTAGAATTCCTCTTGTAGAATGGCTTGGTATGAAAAGTCCCACTTTACAGTCCTGATCAGCTTTAAGCTCAGACAGAAAAGCTGCGAAGGACAAAATGTTCCACAGTTCTGTTACCTTCGAAAGTGGGTCCATTGTAATAGCAAAGACCCAGGTTCTAGGACTTGAAGATATATTTATATCTTCCCATGAAAGTGTATACAGTCTAGGAACTCCAAAATAAAAGCTACATTTAAGATTTCTCTTTTCCCATCTAACCCAAACATTTAGGAAAGCAAGGCACTGAAATAGCAACATTTGCCTTGTCAGATTTCATTCCATGCCACATGCTGAATACAAACTATTGACTGAAGAGTTCATTTGTTCATTAGCTGAACTATCATGTTTAAGAGAATATCATTTCTTATAATTTACTAACCCAATCCTTATCTGTGATTTTTCTCGCTGTGGTTTCAGTAACTCATAATTCACCACAGTTCAATGTACATTAATTGGAAAATTCCAGAAATAAGTAATTCACAAGTTTTCAATTATGTTCCATTACATGATGAAATCAACACATCATCCTGCTGGTGTGAGTTATCCCTTTGTTCAGGATGCACAGGCTGTAAATGCTACTTAATCTTTAGTCATTTAGCAGTTGTCTAGTTTTGTTTTGTTTTTGTCAGTCATGGGGCTTGAACTCTGGGCCTGGGCACTGTCACTCAGCTCTTCAGCTCAAGGCTAGCACTCTATCACTTGAGTCACAGTGCCACTAAGTTGTCTAGGTTATAAGATCAAGTGTCACAGTATTGGGATATCTGTATTCAAGTAACCCTCACGTAGAAGCCTAACACTATATCATAATGCCCGTCAGTTATCTCACTTTATTACATATTATATAATGAGGGCATTACATAATAGCATTTAAGCACAGAAGAAGGGTGAATAAGACATTTTGAGTGAGAAACCACATTCACATAACTTGTATATGCTGTTACAAATGTTATTAGTTTAATTGTAATTTTATCATTAGTTATAGTTGTTAAATGCCTAATATGCCTAATTCATCACACACACACACACACACACACACACACACACACTCAGAGAAAAATTCAGTATTGGTCCCAGATTGCCCTCTATGACTTCAGTTAACTCTGGGCTCTCTGTTTTTCTTTTCTTTCTTTTTTTGAGTGTGTATATGGTTCTGGAGTTTCAACTCAGAACCTTGTACTTGCACTCTACCACTGTAGCCACACCCTCATTGCTTTTGGTTTGGTTTTTCAAATAAGGTCCAGGCTATCACAGACCCTGATTATACTTCTTGTGTCATGGGAATATGACAAGTGCATACCACTACACCTAGATTTTATTGGCTCACATAGGTTCTTGCTAATTTTTTTCTGGCCTGGCTTCAAACAGTGGTCCTCCCAATCTCTGCCTCCTGAGCAGCTAAGATTACAGACATAAATCATTGTGTCCAGGATGTTTTCTTACTTGTAAGCCAGCGCAAATAACATTTAGAGAAGTGCACACATGTCTTAAAAAATAAGAACAGGGAGAATCACTTAAAATATAATCCTATAAAACTATAAGGAAATTAAAGCCCACGAATAAATAATTTTTGTCTTCACTTTACCTTCCCCTGAATCTCTCCCCCCACTAAAGATTAGTTCTCATACAATGAGCACCTTTAAAGGAAATAAAATCACATGTTAAAATGACATACAGGTTATAGAAATAAAGCCAGCCTCCTAGATCACACAACACTCTGAGACAAATCCAAGAGAGAAATAGACAGCAATGACAGTTAAATTCTTTTGTCCACTGGGCTCATTGATAGCATAAAACAAAGCGTATTTGTCAGAGATAAGAGCCTGTATATTATTTTTTCCAGAAGCTTAGAAAATATCTCCAGAATGAATCGATCTCTTTCCTAGAGAATTCCATGCTCTACGACAATGTATATTTAGGAAGATGGAAACATTTTTGGATCTCTTGAAATGGCTGAGACTTGACCTGGGGACTCAGCTTATCAACATATCAAATGCTGCTGTGTTATCAGTATGGTTACCCACCAACACTCTATTCTGCCTGGTGTTCTTACCATAGAAGGGGGAAAAGGGAAGATTCCTTGAAGAATACAACACAGGAGGAAAATGGGTGATAAAATAGGACTTAATGGAAAAACATATCATCAATAGGGAGTCTTGTATAAAGTTCTCTCTCAGAAGCTAGGTACTGGTGGCTTATACTTTTTGTCCTAGCTACTCAGGAGGCTGAAATCTTAGGGCCATGGTTCAAAGGCAGCAGGAGCAGGAAAGTCTATGAGACTCTTATATCCAATTAACTACCAAAAAGCTAAAGTGGACCTGTGAATCAAGTAGTACAGTGCTAGCTTTGAGTTGAAAAAGCCAAATGAGAGCACAAAGCACTGAGTTCCAGCTCCAGTACTGGCACACAAAAAAGTTCTGTATCAGGAAGGTGTTAAGGCAATATAGTTTTACATAAAGAATAGAGGTTGTGTTTTTAAATTTAGTCTTAACACAGCTCACTTAGTGCGACAGAGCAAATTGTTTAATTTTTGAGCTTGTCGCTATGCTTTCAGAATGGAAATACCTCCAAATTGCCATAAGTCTATTTAGTTTGGTTCAATGTCTGTATAAATTACACAAGGATGGAATTACTCTGAGAATCAGAATAGAAGAAAATATGTTTGGGGAAATTACAGTAAGGGTAGTAAAAGTATGAATCATAGGTCATCAAAATTTGCCCCACAGGCTACGTGTGGCCCCCAATTGCTTTCATTAAGTTTTATGGAATACAGCCATATCCATTTATTTGAGTAGTGCCTATGGCTGCTTTCTATGTTACAAAGATAGACTTGAATAGTTCCAAGATGCTGTCTGGCTCACAAAGTTGATCCATTTGTTATCTACCTACTTCCAGAGGGGGGAAAAGTGGAGTCTCTGATCTCCATTAAGATCAAAAGAATGAGCTAGGGGGAAATGTATCTTCTGCCCCTGGTTTTCTTAAAATTTCCAATTCAGAATAGCAGTTCCTTAAATGTCTATGAAAAGAACTAACCTGGAGGAAACCAGGACCATATCTGCGGGAAGGAACTCGCCACTGCAAGTCTTCACAATGTCACCCACGTGGACCTTTTAAACCAGGAAAGAGAAGAGCAAAATGTGAATAATAAAAGCACAAAGGGAAGCAAAACATGCCAAATGTTCCCAAGAAAAGTACATAAAGGTGAGTATAGTACGGAGTTCCTTTAGTCATTCTAATAAATTTCAGCTGTATTTGAACAATTTTATTCCTTGATGAATCCATTCCTTGAAAACAGGGGGGAGGGGTTCTTGGGTGGTTGATATTTTGAGGGGGGGCAATGGTTTTGTTTTGGTTTAGAGGTACTGGGGTCTGAACTCAAGGCCTTGTTTTCAGCAGGCAGTGTATCATTTGAGCCATGTCCCTAGCCCTTGTGTGCTTTAGACATTTTGGGATAGGGTCTTGCATTCATGTCTTGGCTACCTGGACCTTTATTTCCCTTCCTGAGTAGCTAGGATAACAGGCAAACCACCATGCCCAGCTATTGCCTGAGACAGGGTTTCCCTAACTTTTTGCTTTGAATTGTCATCCTCCCCCTCCTGTATAACGGAGATGGTTGTTTTAGAGCCAGGCATGGTGACTCTTAAACAGTTGTTCTAAATCAGGGGTGAATTTGTTTTCCCAATTCACACCTATGGTAATGGGGAAGCTAAAGGTACTGGCATCTAGTGGGTAGATGCCAAAAAATGGAATCCAGTGAAATAAAACACAATGCACAAGAAAGTCCCACAACAAAGAATGATGTGGCCCCAAATCACAGTAGTACAATAATAGCGTGGGTTACAATTAGAATTTGAGGCTGGGAGGTGTGTGCCTCATTGATAGAATGCTTGGCTAGCCTGCACAAGGCCCAGAGAACCAATGCTGATGCACAAAGTTACACACCTGTGGACCTGACACAGATCTGCCAAAAGCCAGTGCCACCAAGTCTTACAAACGACCTTTTTTTTCTTTTGTCCATGGCATTCCCAAATCAACCTACCTGTCCTTGGTGATGTTTCTTGCCTTAGCATTCTATTGGATTGTACTGTGCAGGTGGTATAGAAAGAAGACAGAGCCAGGCGCTGATGGCTCACGCCTGTAATCCTACCTACTGAGGAGGTTGAGATCTGAGGCTTGTGGTTCAAAGCCAGCCCGAGCAGGAAAGTCCATGTGACTCTTATTTCCAATTAACCACCAGAAAACAGAAAGTAGTGCTCTGACTCAAGTGGTAGAGTACTCATCTTGAGCGGAAGAGCTCAAGGACAACACCCAGGCCCAGAGTTCAAGCCCCACAACCGACAAAAGAAAAAAGAAAAAAAGAAAATAAAAAAGGTGTCAGAACAAGAATTCTTGTTTTGTATCTGTAGCTGCTTGACTTCTTCCACCAGAGCAAAGGATTAGGATAAATTATAACTGAGTTCTCAAGCCACTGTCTTAGTTCATTTTCTGCTGCTATAAGAAGATACCCAAGCCTGTAATCCTAGCTACTCAAGAGCTGAGATCTGAAGATCAAGGTTCGAAGCCAGCCTGGGCAGGAAAGCCCATGAGACTCTTATTAACTACCTACAATTAGCTACCAGAAAACCAGAAGTACAGCTGTGGCTCAAGTGGTAGAGTTCTAGTCTTAAGCAAAAACGCTCAGAGACAGTGCCTAGGCCCTGCGTTTAAGAGGTTTGTTCTGGAGGTTTGAGAACATGGCACCAGCATCTCCTGAGCTCTGGTGAGGGTCCTCTGGGTGGTCTCAGAAGATGGAAGATGATACAAATATGTGTTGAAGAGACCATCTGGTGAGATCAGAAGCTGGAGAACTTCAAGCTGACTCCTTTGTAACAATTTTCACAGGGTCTTATAGGAACATCATTAATCCCTGATAAGTACTATATTAATGACTGAACTATTTTCTACTAGGTCCCATATTCCACCTCAGTACTCTGGTAACCAATCTTTTGGCACATAAACCTTATCAATCATCTCCTGAGTGAGAATCACCACTACAGACTCACTTCTTCCCTCCTCCCCTGGTTTCCCATTCACAGAAATCAGACTACCACTCACTGATCTAGCTCCCCTGGATTCCGATGCTCAAAATGAAGAGTTATCTCTCAATAGTTTACTTGTTTGAGTTCCAAAAAGAGGAGCAAAACACAGGCACTGGGGGCTCATGCCTTTTATACTAGCTACTCAACAACTTCGAGGCTTAAGGTTCAAACCTACCATGAGCAAACAAACAAACAAACAAACAACAACAACTCTATAAGACTCTTATCTTCAGTTAACCAGCAAAAATCCAGAAGTAGTGGTATGGCTCAAATGGTAGAATGCCAGTCTTGAGTTAAAAGCTAAGTGAGAACATGAGATCCTGAGTTCAAGCCTCAATACCAGCCCAAATCAATGACTTAATTAATCAATTAATTAAAAAATTAAAAAGAGGAGCAAAATAGAGCCACTTCGCTCACCCACTTGATATGAGGGAAAGCAATATTGATGATATTGAGAAATAAAATTAAAAAAAATCATCCTGAGTGGGCTATCGAAAGACCTTCACATGGGTCATCAATTAATTATTGATGAGGACAAAGTCAGAACCTAGACCCTCAAAACATTCAGCTCGGTTTTATTCTACTAGGATGTGAATGTTTGTCTTTTTGCTATTCTCCACAAATATACTATGCTGAAATTTAACTTCCAAAGTACTAGCAGGAGGAAGTGGGGCCTTTAGGAAGTGGTGAGTAGACCAGGATGGTAGATCTCTCACAAATGGAATTAGTGTCCTTATAAAGTAGCTACCTTGCTGCTTTCGCCATGTGGGGACATGGCTGTAAGTCATCACCTGTGGGGAACCAGGTCCTCCCCAGATATTACCAGTACCTTGATCTTGGACTTTCCAACCTCTAGAATTATGAGAAATAAATTTCTGTGGTCTATAACTCACCCAGTCTAAGGGAATCCAATACAGCAGCCTAAAAGAACTAAGATATTTTCCAAAGGGAAATAATGGTAACAAAATTCCCTGAGATATTACCATGGAAAAGCTGACTTGTGTCCTGAACAACAGTATAGAAAGCATGATCTCTAAATAGTATATGTAGCGATGCAAAGATGGCACCAAGGTAAATTAAAGGAAAAAAAACAACAACATGTAAGGCTGGGTGCTAACAAATCATGCCTCTAATCCTAGCTAGTCAGGAGGCTGAGATTTGAGGATCATGGTTTGAAGCCAGTGGGGGCAGAAAAAGTCCATGAGATTCTTTCTCCAATTAACCACCAAAACAGTCTGAAGTGGAGGTGTAGCTCAAGTGGTAGAACACTAGCCTTGAGCAAAAACAGCTCAAGGCTCTGGGTTGCCCAGGCTCTGGGTTCAAGCCCCAGAACCAGCAAAAAAATATTTATTTTAATGTGACCTCTAACCAGACAGATGAGTTCAAATCCCATTTTCACCAGTTACTAGCTATATAACTTAGAGTGAGATACTCATATTCCCTTTCCTCATCTATAAAATAGAGACAGTATTGTGATTCTTAAAAATGTGTTTCACAGGTAACAATTTGTGGCTTTAAATACCAGGTAGATGATTATTCAGTTAAAATACATTCTTACCTCTTTCCACCTGATTGTGTGCCATGAATTCTGTCTTAAGACTGGAAAATAAATATCTATATGTTAATTGTAATTGCCATATTAAAGTAAAAAATAATTACAAGATACTTTTTCCAAAAACTAAACGTGTTTCTTTTCATTGTTGGTATACAAAAAATGAAATACTTAGGTCTAAATTTAACCAAGTAGGTGAACGACCTCTGTAATGAATACTATATACTTGGGCCACTGTTGGGATCCTCCTGATTGTGCTTCCCTGAGTCCCTGGGTAGGACAGGTATGTGCCAATGTATCCAGCCATTGTACTTTCCCCTATCTGGGATAAGTGGACAGTAATACACCCACCTACTGATTGAGATGGAGTTTCTTGAACCTCTTTATGTTTGGTGTGGCCTGGAACAGTGATGACCCATCTCTGCCTCCCAAGAAACTAAAATTATAGGCTTGAGCCATTGCACTGGCTATATTATTAAATTTCATCAGATTTCAGAGTCAATTCTAGTAACCCTAGAACCAGCTCAGAAGTCTATTTCCTGTTCTCTTCTGTGTTCTCCAGAAAACACCACCATATATAGACATCCATATGTGTTATATATGTATTTACATATGCAGTCAACTCGCCATATTTATGAGTTTCATATTCACCGATTCAGTGAACTAAGGATATTTTATATCTAGTTAGGTCAAATAGTAATACAAATATAAAGATATATGGTAGATAAGATAGATGATAGAGAGAGAGACAAAACACACAGACAGACAAATAGAGGTTGGAGATGGCGTGTCTTGGGCAGTAAAGCACCAGTCAATGAAGAAAAGTGTCAGATACCCAGTCAAGTCTGTCTCAAACCAAAACAAAGATGATAAACAGTAGATAGATAGATAGACAGACAGACAGACAGACAGACAGACAGACAGACAGATAGATAGATAGATAGATAGATAGATAGATAGATGATCTGATATCTATTATAAAGAAGTGGCTCACACAATTACAAAGGGTCTGAAGTCCCAAGATCTGCTGAGTTGTCAAGCTGGAGAGCCTATGATATAATCCCAATCTGATAACCAGGACATTTAAGACCAGGAAGAACCAATATTTCAGTTCTAGTCTAAAAGCTGACATCCTGATTTGAATGCCATTAGGAAGAAAGAATTCTCTCTTAGGGGTGTCAGCCTTTTTTGTTCTATTCTGGATTTTGACTGATAGAATGAAACTCACATGTGCAGAACAATGTATATGATTTACTCTATCTAAAGATAACTCTAATGATCAATTTTACCCTAAAATATTTGCAGAGAAACACCCACAATAATGTCTGACCAAAAACCTAAGCACAATGTAGCCCAGGTTAAGTTGAAACATGAAATAGAAGCCATCATACTTACCTAATGTAGTCTTGGAATTCACTAATTTGTCTGCCTTATGTCGCTTCTATTATGGGGGGAAATTCATTACATCAAAAGCTCACAATGAATAATTCAGTTCATATTAGAAATTATAGTACATTTAAGAAAAAAAGAGAAGAGCCGGGCGCCAATGGCCCACGCCTATAATCTTAGCTACTCAAGGGGCTGAGATCTCAGGATCTTGATTCAAAACCAGCAGGAACAAGAAAATCCATGAGACTCTTATCTCCAATAAACCACCAGAAAACCAGAAGTAGTACTGTGGCTCAAGTGGTAGAGCACTAGCCTTGAGCTGAAGAGCTGAGGGACAGCGCCCTGGCTCAGAGTTCAAGCCCTACAACTGACAAACAAAAGAAAAAGAAAAAAAACAGAAGCAGACAGCCTAATTGTTTTGTTTGTTTGTTTGTTTTGCCAGTCCAGGGGCTTGAACTCAGGGCCTGGACACTGTCCCTGAGCTTCTTTTGTTCAAGGCTAGCACTCTACCACTTGAGCCACAGCGCCACTTGTGGCTTTTTCTGTTTATGTGGTACTGAGGAATCAAACCCAGGGCTTACTTCATGCATGCAAGGCAAACACCCTACCACTAAGCCACATTCCCAGTCCCAACAGTCTAATTGTAAATTGGATGTAATTGATTAAAATTTCCTTGTGCCTTCCTATGACTCCCTAAGCTGAGCTGTAACCCATGGAAAGGAGTATAGCAATGTGGCTAAATGTGAACAGAGACCCTCAGATCTCAACCTCCTAAGTAGCTAGGATGAGGGGCATGAGCTACCAGCACCTGGACTTACTGGTTGGTTGGTTGTTGTTGTTTTTAATGGACCTTGGTGTCATCTCTGCATCACTGCATAGAATATTTAAAGATCATGCTTTCTATACTGTTGCTCAGGACCCTGGAGCCAGCCTTCCATGTTGACATCCCAACTCTCTCCCTCATTGAGGCAGATTGATCTGTGTCCAAAAAGATGAGCAGAAAGTCTCTCTCTCTCTCTCTCTCTCTCTCTCTCACACACACACACACACACACACACACACACACACACACACATACACACATACACCAGCCTAACCTAAGGCTTCTGATAAATTTGGAACAATTCATAACTAGTGTTACCAATGATAAATTAATGAAAAGAGCTAACACTGCATAGATTTTTCTGGGGACATCTTTTCAAAGGATAATAGGAATCATGTAAAGGCAGGAGAGTGACAATAGCTAGCAATTTTGCCAAAGAAGAATTAGGATTATGAGGCATGAGGAGATTGCCATAGGGGCCCCAGCCACAGCAGGTATGGTGATAGCAAGCAGAAAACAATAGTCAATAGCCCTTGGTGCCAGTCAAAAGACCAAAGGATAGATGAAGACAACATACAAAGTGTTTGCACCAGCCTCTAGCCATATAAGACTTTCACCTAGGCTAATTTATGCCTCCAATTATCTACTATTGTCTCCAGTGATACTGCAGTAGTTCTTATCATAGCTAAAGACAGTTCTATGATAGCTGATAGTCTCTCAAAGATATAAATCAAAGTGTAGCTAGGTGCCAGTGGATCAAGACTATAATCTTAGCTACTTAGGAGGCTGGAATATGAGAATCACTGTTCAAAGCTAGTCCATAAGAATCTGATCTACAATTAACCACCAAAAAGTCAGAAATGGAAGAGCAGTTCAAGTGGTAGAGTGCTAGCCCTAAGCAGAAAACCTCAGGAACAGTGGCCAGGCCCTAAGTTCAAGCCCCAGGACTGGTACACACACAAATACACGTACACACACACAGAGATACATAACAAATACTATATGATTTTTAATTTGAAACCTCAAAGTATTTGATCACACTAGCTATAAACTTAAAAGAATTATGTCAGTTCTAACCAACTGCCTAGAAAAGAAAAAAGAAAAAAATAGCAAATGAACCTTGATTAAATAAAGGCAATAGTCTTAAGAGCATTTCATTATAAAACAGGAAACTCACATAATCTTCTATAACTTCTTTGATGCCTGAAATTGTAAGAATAATCACCAAAGGCAAGAGAGTTGTATATTTTCCTGTTGGAGATACATCTGGGATTTGCTGCAAAATAATTAGAATTACTCATAGTGAGATAATAAAATCTTTATTATAGTTTGTTCACATACAGAGTCACGCTACTAGTGGAATGACTAAGGACATGAAGACAAAGGCCACATTAAATAATGATGGGAGATAGCATATAAAAACCACGCCTGAGTGTGACTCTCATGACCATACTTGGCAAAGTTGACAGTGAAACTGCTCACCATGTTTACAAAGAAATTATGTTTATAAGGAAATAGTTCAAACATAAGAATATTTTTAAACTAACATCTTCTAAAAACAGTTACATTCAGTTGGCCACTTTACCTGAACCTCATTTCTTTTGTGCATATGTATGTTTATATGTGTGTGCATAATGCACATATGCCAGTACTAGGACTTGGAGTCAGGATCTGGACACTGTTCCTTAGCTTTTAACTTCAAAGTTAGCACTCTACCACTTGAACCACTGCTCCACTTCTAGTTAACTGGAGATAAGACTCTCATGGATTTATCTACCTGGACTGATTTTGAACCTCGGTCCTCAGATTTCAGCCCTTTGAGTAGCTGGGATTACAGGTGTGAGCCACTGGTGCCCAGCAAACCTCATTTCTTTTTGAGGAAAAGAAAGAAAAAAATAGGAAGCTCAGGAAAGTGATGCTTCCTAGGTACACATTAAACTGTGGATCATGAAACATCAAATGTTCAACATCAATTATGTAAGTTATGAGAAATAAAGATGTAAACAAACTGTGGTGGACCCCTTTCCCTTCCCTTTCCTCCCTTCCTTCTCTCTTTTTTATAGTACTCCAGTTTGAAATCAAGGTCTTGCACTTGCTTAATGAATGTTCAATACTTGATTTACCCTCTTGACCTTTTGCTTTAGTTCTTTTTCAGATAGGCTTTCTGGCTTTTGTTCAGGCTAGCCTCAGAACACAATCCTACTACCTCTGCCTCCAAAGTATCTGGTTTTACAGGCACACACTGTGCCTGGCTTACTGTTTTTCATTGCCAATACTAAGGCCTGAACTCAGGTCTTGGGTGCTGTCTCTTACTTTTTCACTTAAGGCTGGTCCTTGACCACTTAGGCTACAGATCCACTTCAGGCTTTTTGGTGGTAAATTGGAGGAAAAAAGTTTCAGGGATTTTCCTGCCCAGGCTGATTTTGAAATGTGACACTCCGATCTCAGTTTCCTGAGTAGCTAAGATTACAGGCATAAGCCACTAGCATCTAGCTAAAGGATGGTTTTTAGCTGAAATTTTGTTTGTTTGTCTGTTGTTCTTTTTGTTGGGTTGTGGGGCTTACACTCTGGGCCTGGGCACTGTCCTTGAGCTCTTCAGCTCAAAGGCAAGTGTTCTACCATTTGACCCATAATGCCTGGTGGTTTATTGGAGATAAGAGTCTCACAGACTTTCTTGCCCAGGTTGGCTTTGAACCATAATCCTCAGATCTCAACCTCCTGAGTAACTAGGATCTCAGGTGTGAGCCACCAGCACACAGTTTAAGCTGGAATGTTTTAAGAGAAAGAGGAGAATATGGACAGATTAGTGCTCTCTATGTTTATACTAACCATAAATGCCAAGGTCTGGAGAAAAGAAAACCTGGGAATTGTGAAGCTATTTTCCTGGATGGTCTGAGGGATTTATGCTGAAAAAATATGGCTGAATAAACAAGGATAAACCAGATTATGGATAGCTTTTAATTTAACTGTTTTAAGCTACTATGTTATTCACTCCAGAATATAATAATAAAATTATCATATGACTAAGGTGGCATAAATGACCAAAGTCACTTCAGAAACATTTCATTAAAGATTTCAATCAAGATGAACTATGTATCAATTTGTTTCTTTGAAATCAACATTTTTTCAATCCAAAAATGTAGTTTCAGTTTCCTATAAAAATCCTGCACAGCCAGGCACCGATGGCTCATGTCTGTATTCCTATCTACTCAGGAGGCTGAGATCTGATGATCGCAGGTCAAAGCCGGCTAGGGCAGGAAAGTCCATGAACTTTTTTTTTGTCCGTCATGGGCTTGAACTCTGGGCATGGGCAATATCCCTCAGCTCTTCAGCTCAAGGCGAGTGCTCTACCACTTGAGCCACAGCACCAGTTCCAGTTTTCTAGTGGTTTATTGGAAATAAGAGTCTCACGGAGTTTTCTGTCCTGGCTGGCTTTGAACCGTGATCCTCCGATCTCAGCATCCTGAGTAGTTAGGATTACAGATGTGAGCCACTGGCACTCAGCTACACGAGACTCTTATCTCCAATAAACCACCAGAAAACTGAAAGTGTCGCTGTGGCTCAAGTGGTAGAGCACTAGCCTTAAGCTGAAGAGCTGAGGGACAGTGCTCAGGTCCAGAGTTCAAGCCCCTCAACCGACCAAAAAAAAAAATCCTGTGCATTCTCTTCTTCTAGTACTTAAATGTATTATCTATCTCAAATTTTTATGAAAACACAGCTGAACTGGAGAAAGTGAAGAGATGCCCAACTTAACACTCCAACCTCTCCTAGGCTGTTTCATCTGGATGGAAGGGGGGCCGGGGTAGAGATTAGGAGAGGAAAGTCTGAGGAGGTTGCTCCAAGGCTTGGCAATCGAGGGGCAGGGAAATCTGCTGCCTATCTTGCAAATGAGGGTGTTCAAGGTAATGCTCTTCCATCAGCAAAACACTTTGTTAATGAGTCTGTGATAACAAAATGCACACTATAACTAAACAATAGTCTTCAAAACTTACATTCACACAAATATGTATGCACAATACCATCTCTCTGTTCATTAAAAATCAGAAAGGCAGTACAACAAGACATTGGTGGTTGTTTGACATGAGAAGCTTGTAGAGGGACTATTTTTCGTCTAGTTTTCTATTATCTTTCTACTTATCTATAATCATGAGTTGGCCTAACAGCTGATAAAATTCACTTCAAATGTTAACAATGTTCACATTTCACTATGTTTTAGCAGAGGAGGAAAAGGTATGTTCAAAACAAATTTTCCACTTTTAAAAGTATACAGACAATAATTTGTCCTCCAAAAATGATTGTATTGATGTGATAAGACCTGCGAATCATAAGTAACTAGGAAGGAGTGTTTCAAATGTTGGTTTGGGCAGTTTGTTCTCTTGGCCTCAAATCCAGTCTTTCTTCTTTCTGTTCAACATTGGGGCCCACCACGGAAGACTGGGGAAGTAAAGGAATGGAGAAGACGGGTGAAGGAGAGTAAAATGGTTGGAAATCAAAAGACTTTGAATTAAGTAATGGTCATTCAAACTACTTTGGAAGACTGTTCCATCTACAACTGGCCTATGCAGCCTGATTTGGTTCACACTTTAGGCGAAGTTCTCTGGAAACCTCATTCCTGCTCCCCAGCAGAGGCCGCTCTCAGCCTTTAGGAAATCAATACATCCTAGGAAGAAGCCATTTCTCTCAAGGCAGCCCAAGGTGCCGGAATGGAGAATACAGTGGTTGTGGCTTTGGGCTGGGAGAGTGGCGCTTCAGACTCATGCTCCTGTAAAGCTGTTCTGCTGTCAGTCTCCTTGTCTTGTTTGCAGAAGCACTACTGCTCCCAAGTTCCTTCCATTGCTTCTGGGCTTTGTGTGGGGAAAACACAGGCTCTCTCACCTGAAACCCTGACCTTCCAGGCCTCCTGCACCCTCATTAATGCCCACAGAACTCAAGCACCCAGGATGGGGATCCACACCTAAGGGCCCTGGGTCCAGCAAGGGGAGGAGAGGTGGGACCAGGCCACTTAGGTGTGAGTGTTAGTAAAACCCTTAGGTTGGGAGGGCATTTATGGAATATTTTCCCTTTCAAGCCCTGATCTGCTGTGTTTCTTCCTCCAGGGGCTCAGTGGAGGTGAGAGTTTTAGGCGTCCAGTCCACACAATGACCTCAAAGTCTGGGCAGTATCTCCTAGGTGAACAGTTGGGAGGGAGAACCAGGAAAAATGGGAAAATAAATAAATAAATAAAATTCTAAGCTGGACATCTATAATCCTAGCTACTCTGGAGGCTGAGATCTGACTGAGGATCACGGTTGTAAAACAGCCAGGTTAGGCAAATCAGTAAAATTCTTATCTCCAATTAACCACAAAAAATAAATTTAAATAATCTCATGAAAGCCCAATGAGGTTTTGCAAGCATTTTCTTAGACTAAAAATTTGAGTCTAACAAGGTATTCAAAAAATGTTACCTGCAGTATAGTAATGAATAGGAAGAATGCATTGGCAGTTTTGCCAAATTGTAGGTACAAATATCGAGGCAGAAACGACCACATGCTGTACTTGGTTGTGCTGTAAGGGCAAAGAAAAACACCATGGTCAGATCATATTCTGAACTCTAGACATTCACAGAAAACATGCAATGTTACAATTATACAAAAATAGATCAGAAGCTAGGCACTACACATGTATCAAGGTACACTGAACTCAACTATGACATGTGAAATTGAACTCCCTTTGTACGACACTTAAAGATAATTTTTGATTAAAATACCTACTAAATGTTTGAGAATACTTTTAAATGAAAGTGCACCAACATGTAGAGATAGTAAACAAGAAAGGAGAAAAGAGGAAGAATTTTCCATATTAATATAGGACACAGCTGAGTTGAAGCTAAAGAATAAATAGAAAAAAAGATCATGTGCGCGGGCCTTAAAACCCCTTGATTTGTTGGGAAAAAAACACTCTTCCTTCCTTTTCCCTTCTGAAGTATCATCGTTTTTTTTTTTTCTTACCTGATTGAGTTGTGACAAAAAGTGTTCTTAATAGGGTCATTGATGTAAATGGAGCGATGTTGGGACATTTCTGAGCTTTGGGTAAATTGGTTCCAGACCATCCTTTCTTGAACCTTCTGAATGCCCAAGGAGAAATGTATATTCCTGCAGTAAAAAAGGCACAAGAACATGATACAGAAGAACAAAAGCTGGCGGACTTCCAGCTGCAGCTGTATTGGGCTCCCTGACACAGACTCTCTCCTGACTTTCAATTCTCTTCCTGCCCCTCCTCCCCACCCCTCACATCAGTCATCCTGGCCAGGAAAGGAGAATGGGCTTGGATTGAATGGACCATAGGGGCTCTCTGCCACCTTGCAGACTCTTATGTCTTTCCCAGTTTGCAGAATGGGCTGGCTCTGTCAGGGCAGAAAGAAACAAAGGTGACAGATCACAAGGGCAGAAGATAAGGGAAAGGGAAACAGAAGGAAGGCAGGAGAGGGGGGAGGGGACAGGAGATTCCACACGCAAGTGTTTTGAATAAAGACCAGTGGCTCCTAGACCAGAAAGAAGCTCCCTAACCAAAGCCACCTTAATGTTCTTAGTTTGATTAAACATTAAACAGGTGCTGTTATTCACCTGAAACTTCAGAAAACAGTCACAGATTCTTTGTCTAATCCCTTTGAAATGTGTATAAAAGTTCTTTTAAAGGCCTCTTGTGAGCTTAAGGCCCAGGGAATGTTTTTCTACAGGAGAGTTGGAGTGTTTCTTTGAACTACTGCCCTCAAGGAAGGTGATCTGTCACCCCATCACTTATTTTGGAAGGTAGGAACCTGTTAGTGGGTGCCTTCTCCAAATTGTGTAGTTTTCTCTTGGCATGAAGATAAAAAACTTACTCTTGCTGGGCTGGTGGCTCGTGCCTAGCTACTCAGGAGGCTGAGATCTGAGGATCTTGTTTCAAAGCCAGCCAGGGGAAGAAAAGTCCCCATGAGACTCTTATCTCCAATTAACTACTCAAAAACCAGAAGTATTGCTGTGGTTCACATGGTAGAGAACTAGTCTTGAGCACATAGAAGCCCAAAGACAGTGCCCAGGCCCCACAACCAAGTTTTCCTTTGGTACAATTTTAACTCCAAGCCAGGCACTGGTGGCTCATGCTAATAATCCTAGCTACTCTGGAGGATCATAGATTAAAGCCAGCCTGGGAAGGAAAGTCTATTAGACTTTTACACTAACCACCAAAAGCCAGAAGTAGAGCTACGGCTTAAGTGGTTGAGTTCAAGACCAAGTACTAGCACCAAAAAATAAAAATCAAGGTAACTTCAACATTAAAAAAAAAAAAAGGCAATCAAGCCTGACCTGGGAAAATGGGATCACCCCACGGTTTTTCCCATAGACTAATAATGACACCCAGTAGTTAAGAATCTCCGTTAACTGTCCAGCTCTCCCAGCCACAACCCCTATGGCCTCTAGACAGAAATGCCAGGATCCTGGCAGCTCCCAGCTCCACCTCACAGGCCAGCAGGTATCAAAGGCCAAGTGACCTCAGTGCTGATTGGGCTGCAAACACTTGAGGAGTTGACAAGGAGGGGCCCAGGTTAAACCACTGAATGGAAAGTTCCAGCAGCCCCTCTATATGTAGGGATACCCAGACCCCACCCTCAACCATTTCTGGCCCCTATGGTCTTCCAGATTGTTCCCACAGTTCCTACTTGCAGTATCCACACCAGCAGCAGTAGGAGTAGATGCAGACAGACTTGAAGCTTCTGCAGGATCCCTCAGCACTGTGGTGCCAGAAAGGTTTGAAGCTCCCCTGTGCTCCTCCCACAAGTGCTTCTGATTAGATAGCTCTGTAGCACCTCTGATTGGCTACAAATCTAGGACCTGCCCCTTGAGTCCTGAGTTATGGGAAAGTGAGTGATCCCATTCCAGGGTGAGTTCTTCCAAAATGAGATTCAAGGACAGGCTTCTCTCTGGGGGGCCCATCTTAATGAGTGAGTTCAAGCTGCAGGACCACCATCATCAACAACAATAAAAGTCTTCACCAAGGTGAAAATGTGAATGCTCCTTATCCTGAAGCTTCATTGGTTCTCTGATCACAGTTTCTGGTCATGATCCAGTGTTGTGAGCCTGGAGATATACATGTCCAGTTCATTTCTTTGAAGCTCCCATTTCATCCCAATCACATCGATACATCTGTAGTGAAACCCTAGGTTCTGAATAGCTTTCCATTTTAAGTAGTCTTAACTGTTGAGCCCATCTAAAGCTGTTCTGACTACTTGAAATAGTCTTCCAGGAAAGACGCTGATACCTTAGACAAAGACTATGTCTCTTTTGTCCGTTTCTGTTTTTCCTGTCACACCACCTGCTCAATGAGAACAGGCACTGAATATTCTAAACCAACCATCACGTTTTGCAAATATTAGGGGAGGCCTTAGCAAATCTCTGAGAAATCTACATATACACAGACACAAGGATACATGGATGCTAATGCTATCCTCACCACAAGAGGGAGCTTCCTTGTCATACTGTTTTTGGAAAAATGGCTCAAAGGAGAATTTTGGAGGATTTTATTATATAAGTATTATATAAGGAATAGCTGTTGAGAGAAGTAAAGATGACGTTGTATAATTTTCTGTCTTTTTTATGATTCAACTTTTTTTCTGGTCTTGGAGCTTGAACTCAGGGCCTACGTGTTGTCCCTGAGCTTTTGCTCAAGGCTAGTGCTTCTACTGCTCCATTTCCTCTGTGTGTGTGTGTATGTGTGTGTTTAACTGGAGATAAGTGTCTCATGGACTTTGAGGCTAGCTTTAAACCATGATCCTTAGGTCTCAGACTCCTGAGTGGCTAAGATTACAGGAATGAGCCACAGGCACATAGATTTTTTAACTCTTGATTTTTTTTTTTTTGCCAGTTGTGGGGTCTGAACTCTGGGCCTGGGCACTGCCCTCAGCTCTTTAGCTCAAGGCTAGTGCTCTACCACTTGAGCCACAGCACCACTTCCAGCTTTTTTTTTTCTGCTTATGTGGTACTGAGGAATCTAACCCAGGGCCTCATGCATGCAAGGAAAGCACTCTACCACTGAGCCACGTTCCCAGCCCTGGTTTAACTCTTTATAGGTTAAGAAAGCAATAAAACTAGTAATATTGATAATATGATTATAAACACTATAATCCATTAGCTTGGAGGTAGGGACAGAACAACCAAAGTTTGAGGCCAACTCAGGAAAAGTTAGCACTGACTACATCTGAATATTAAAAAAAATAAAAAGGACTGGAGGCATGGCTCAAGTATAGATAATTTACAACTTTCATTACTGCAAAACAAATAGGAAAGAACTAAATAAAACATTACTCATGTTTTGGAATATAGAGACATTAAAAAGTGTGACTCATCAACGGATGATGATGGTAGTTCTCACAAACCTAAGTGGTACAAAAAGATAGACAGATCTGTATGTGTAAACGCTTTTAGGTCATACCTAAGGTCAAGTGTGATAGTTACATACCTTTAATCTCAGCACTTGGGAGGCCAAAGAAAGAGGATTCTAAGTAAGTTTGAGGCTGGCCTGGGCTACACAGTGCCCTTATCTCAAAACAACCAAACAAATCAGCAAACAAAACCATACATATAGTCACTCATATAGTTTCATATATAAAAGTAGAATCAAAATCATGTAAATGTATTCAAAATACAAAATAGTAGTTGTAAGGGTTAAGCGTAATGGGAACAAGCCTGGAGATAATGGTTAAAGGGTTTCTGCTTTATTTCTGATGCTTCCTTTTTTTGTTTGGGTTTTTTTTTTAAGGGATGAAGAAAATCCTGAAAGCAAATATAACAACATGCCTGTGGTTGTTTATTCTGAATGGTGAAAAATAAGCATTTGTTGAATTTTATACACACACACACACACACACACACACACACACACACACACACACACTCAACAATATAGTTGGTTGACAATCACCAAATATTTATAGTTCAAGCAACTAGAATAGTTACTAGGGGATTGGAGGCACAGCTCAGTAAGTACTAGCTAATGAATGAAGGCATCAGGTACCAAGTTTGAGTTCAAGTCTCGAAACAAAAAAAGAGAGAATGGAGTTTTTAAGCAGTAGGTAAATTTGGATCCTTTAAGATTTAATCCTTCCAATGCCTGCCTCCCAGGATTTCTAGGACAAGACCCTGGAATGAATCCAGAAGGACAAGTCAGAGACAGCCTGAGTGAGACTGGGACAGTTGAGAATGTAAGCCAAGTTCAGTTACAGTAACTGTTGTTGAGAGGCTGTCCCTTTGGTTAAAAAGGGACAGCAAAATGGAACAAGTACTCACCTCTCTTCAGCTGAACAGGCTACTTTGGATTAGAAAATGGATTCATTAGTGTTCATATCCTGAAGGTTCTTAAGTAGCATACAGAGGCCTAATGATCAGATTGTGGCCCCCAGCCATTACTGGGAGAGGCAAACCTTCCCAGCTGGCCTCTGACAGTTCCGGCAGTTGAGGGCTCTGTACCTCTCCTCCAGGCCTATGCTTCTAAGCCAGGGCAGCCGGGATTCCAGATTATATCCTCATGGCCTGCTCTCTCCCTGTCTATTCCCTGAATTACCTCCATTCTGTCTACTCAGCATAGAAGGATCAAAGAGACTTAATTGCACTCAGAAGTGTGTCCATGTCTCTTCCAAGTGGTGGAAAAAAGTATGAGTGCACCTTACCAAGGAGTGAGCCCACCATGAGACAGAACCTCACTTGATGATCACGTTAAGCTCCATTTGGCTATCTATATGTGTATATACGTGTGTGTATGTGTGTGTGTACACACACACACACACACACATATATATATATATATATATATAACATATGTATATATATATATATATATATGTTATAAATGCTGCTTGGCTGGATGCTATAATCTTAGCTACTCAGGAGGCTGAGCTCTGAGGATCAGAGTTTAAAGCCAGCCTAGGCACGAGAGTTCATGAGACTCTTATCTCCAATTAACCATCAATAAGCCCAAAGTGGGGGTGTGGCTCAATTGGCAGAGCAACAGTGTTGAGCAAAAAAGCTCAGGGATGGCACCCAGGCCCAGAGTTCAAGCCCTAGGACCAACCAGCACCAGAAAAAAAATGCTGATTCTTATTGATATACATACATTGAATTATCTTTGTGTTTCCAACACAGCAAATTGAGCATGCCAAGGTCCTGGTTCTTCCTCTTTGCCTAGCTAAGACTGCTTCCCCCATCAGTCATGGGGCCCGAATTCAGGACCTGGATGCGATCTTTGAGGTCTTTTGTTTAAGCCTATTAGTGCTCTACCACTTTGGGTTTTCTGGTGGTTAACTGGAGATAAGTTCCAAGGACTTTGCTGCCTGGACTAGCTTTAACCCACTATCCTCAGATCTCAGCCCCCTGGGTAGCTGGGATTACAGGTGTGGGCCACCACACCCAGCTGCTAAGACACCTTTGTAATTCTTCTTTGTCCAAAGGTACCACCTGTAGCAGGCTGGAATCATTTCCATTTGCTAAGACTAAACAGAATATTAAAACTGAATTGCCAAAAACTAAGTAGTGTATGAAAAAACCACAGAGAATTTGACTAGAGGAACATTGTGTCATATAATGCACTCAACAATAATAAATAAAATACACTAACAAATTCTGAATCCAGTAATCTTCACATCTTTCTTTTCTTTTTGTCTGTTGTGGGGCTTGAACTCTGGGCTTGGGTGCTGTCCCTCAATTCAAGGAAAGCATTCTACCACTTGAGCCACAGTGTCTCTTCTGTTTTTCTGGTGGTTTATTGAAATAAGAGTCTTGCCAACTTTCCTTCCCGGGCTGGCTTTGAACTGTGATCCTCAGATCTCAGCCACCTGAGTAGCTAAGATTACAGGCATGAACCACTGACACTGGCTAATCTTCACATCTTAATAAGACTGTAAGGTCTGTACCAGGACACCTCCCTACCTCTTAGCTAAGTTTCCACCCAGTATCTGTTACCTAGGTAACTGGCACACCTAGAAGCGGTCACCTTCCCCTCCTGCTAGGTCACATCCTGGGCCACCTCTGGTCACATGCCTCCCATCTAACCTTAGGAGGGTCCCAGACCCTGAGGTCACATCCAGATCCAATGTGGCCATACCTTTCCCCCATCTGGCCACACCTCTTCCTGTCCCTGGCCTAGATAAGTCCTGGCCCAGGGGTGGGTCGCCCCTTCTCCTTTCCAGCCATGCTTCTCTACCAGGCATGGCAGGGGCAGCAGTTCAGTAAATAAACTTCTTTTCCTGCCTGAATAGCACATGGTGTTCTCTTCATCAGCTACCTAATGAAACCTACCTATTTAATATACTTTACAATTAACAACTAACATACAACTAATATAACAGGTACGTAGAAATTGCTTTTGTTAAATGCGCCAACTCTTCATTTGGGTCTGTAAATGCCCAGTAAGTTCCTACAAACAGGATTAAAGTGTTGGCATATTTGCCTCTGTTTTTCATCTCTCCCTTCCATCTCTCCTAGGGCTTGAACTCAGGACCTTGAGGATCTACTACCTAAGCCATAGTTATACATTCAGCTTTTGGGTGGTTAATTGGAGATGAGTCTTGTGGACTTACCTGACAGGCTGGCTTTGAATCATAATCTTCAGATCTCAGCCTCATGAGTAGCTAGGATTACAGGTGTGAATCACGGGCACTGGGCTTGTATGTATCCTTTATTCTGGGCTGGAGGTGTGAAGCCCGAACAAAATATAGCAATTTTAGGTTTGGATTCCATTTTGTCCAGGAAATGTGCCAGCAACCCCCCTTGATCCCCTTGGGCCCAAATTCCAGGAACAACCCTCTACCGTAAATTGCACTAACTATAGCTAATCAGCAGATAACAGGAAAAACCCAAAGTTCCAGATGTTCCTGCAAGTTAAAGACCACTTGGTCGAGGCTCAGACCATCTGCTTTAGCCAGTCATTTCGAAGACCATCAACCTTATGAACCAGCCAATCCCCAGTACCTGGTCAGTTCCTTCTACTGGTTATGCTAATCATCTTTTAGAATTATTTTATGATTTTCCCGTGGTGCGATATGATTTGTTAAGTGTTGCAATGACACATAGAAGTCCCTAAAAACCCTATAAAAACCCTGCTAGAGGAAGGGTCAGGGTTCACAATTTCTGACTTGCTGCGTCAGGGAAGGTTTGTGAGTCCTGCTCAAACTATAATAAATGACTCTTGTGCATTTACATCAGCAACGGCTCCCTGGTGGTCTTTGCGGGGGGGGGGGGAATCTATGGCCTGGTACTTAACAGGCACCTTGGATCTTGGCACAACCCCCCTTGTGCTCTCCGCTGCAATGAGGAGTAAGACAACAACAGAGACAGACAGGACCATGCACCTGAGACTTGGGGGACCAGGGGACCTGTAGCCTTCTACTGGCAACAGATCCTAAGGTTCCATTAACCAAGGTTTTTATTGGTCTTGTGCAAGGAAGTAAGGTATAAACTTCAACATGTGACAATATTTTGTATACAAGTGGTAGGTGACCTGCTTATTCTGGGAAGGAGAGCTAAACAGTGAGCAGCCTTCAATTTGCATATCTACCCCTAGGCTCCCACATGGTTTAGGGTGGAATCTGAGTTCCCCATTAAGCCAGGACTGATTGACCTTTCCAGGAAAACTCTCAGCATTCCAGTATATTGGGAGAAGGCATTCCAAATCCCACTCCTTTAAGGGTATCACAGCTTGGGTTTTCAGGCTCTCACAGATCTTGTGACATCTTGGCATATTTTGACATTAGCTGCAGCTATTGTCCCAGTCATCATTTTCTAATGCCTATATTGGGCTTGAACTCAAGGCCTGAACACTGTCTCTTAACTTTTCTGCTCAAGGTTGGAGCTACACCTCTATTTCCAGCTTTTTGCTGGCTAATTGAATGTAAAAGTTTCACAGACTTTTCTGCCTAGGCTGGCTTTGATTCTTAGATTCCCCCTTGTTAGCAGCTAGGATTACAAGCATGAGCTACCAAAGCCTGACTTCCAGGGCTTGAACTTTCTTATCCTGACAAGGCCTGTTCCGTCTGACCAATCCTGAGATAAAGATAGTTGAATCAGACTGATTAGCTATGCATTTATCTTGCCCTTTTCCTATATAACCTGTAAGCTCAAAGATAGACTTAGAGTCACTGGCCTCCCTTGACTGTGTTTCTAATATGGTCAGGTTGATTAAATATCATTTCTCTGCTTTCTACCTATCTCTTTAATGGGCAGAGTAGGACTGGTGGTTGTTAGGTAAATTAGATTGGCAGCCGAGCCAGGTGCCAGTGGCTCATGCCTGTAATCCAAGGTAGGATCTCAGGAGGCTGAGATCTGAGGATCATGGTTCAAAGCCAGCCCCGCAGGAAAGTCAGTGAGACTCTTATCTCCAATAAACAACTCGAAAACCGGAAGTGGCACTGTGGATCAAGTGGTAGAGCTCTTCTTACCTTCAGCTGAAGAGCTGAGGGATAGTGCCCAAGCTCAGAATTCAAGCCCCACAACTGACATAAACAAATAAATTAATACATTAATTGGCAGCGAGGAAAGAGAGCAGCACGTGGTATTCAGGCAAGGGAAAGGTTTATTTGCAGGCTGCCTCTGGTCAAGTTGGAAGCCCAGGCAGCAGGAATAAAAAGGGACTTATCAAGGCCAGGGGCGGAAGGTGTGGCCACACTGGATGGGGATGTGACTTCAGGGAGTGGGGAGGTGACTGCCTCCAAAGTGTGTTGGTTACCTAGGTAACACAGGTACTAGGCAGAGACTTAACTAAGAGGAGGGAGGAGTCTGCTCCGCCTTCCCAGGGTGGAGTTTACAGTGGTCAGATCTGAAGATTATGATTCAGAGAGCTAGTCAGGGAAGTCCATGAGACTCATCTCCAGTTAAAAAAAAAACCTGGAAACAAAACTATGGCTTAAGTGGCAGAGCACCAGCACTGAGAGAAAGAGTCAAACGAGAGTGCAAGACCCTGAATTCAAACCCCAGAAGAGATAAGACTAATGATCTGTTGAGACTTTTGCCCTAAAAAGACCCTTTACTACACTAAAAGAATGTGAAAGCACATGAGCCAGCTCACAGGAAACTTACTGGTATTTCAACAATATTATTGTTTACATAGGAGTATACTGTGGCACTTATAATTGTGATACAGTGAAATCAGGTAAAGCAGGAATTAATAACTATTAACCAGCTGGAGTCAGAGATTTTGCTCTAAACTCTAGTAACACTAGTGGTACTGTTGCTTGAGCCAGATCTGCTGGCATGTATCTGAATATAAAGATCCCAGAGTTTTCTCTAAATACTGTAGTGATAGGGCTGGGAAGGTGGCTCAGTTGTAGAGTGCTAGCCTTGCATGCATGAGGCCCTGGGTTTGATTCCTCAGTACCACATAAGCAGAAAAAGCCAGAAGTGGCTGTGTGGCTCAAATGATAGAGTGCCAGCCTTGAGCAAAAGAAGCTCAGGGACAGTGCCCAGGCCGAGAGTTCAGGCCCCATAACCAACAAAATAACTAAATAAGTACTGTAGTGATACTAGATTCTACATGTTGAAGTTAGAATCATAGAGCTTTCTCAGTGCCATACTCTGTCTCTCTGGAAGAATATAAAATTCTCTGCTAGAAGATACTGGTCTGAAGTCTTGGGACATACTAAATAGCTACATGTGGCTTTATTCTTTGGTTATGAAGGCATTAAAAATTGATTAAATATATTATTCTTCACTAGTGCAAAGTACTGGAGTCTTTTGT